TATATATATATATATATAAGCCACGTCTTTATTTTTTTTCCTCAAACCCACAAAAGTTGGCACCCAACCATCTTACCCCAGTGAGCTCACCGGTCCGAGTTTGTCACACCTAGGTTCGAGAGAGGATGCACATTCATAATATAAGACATGATGAAATGATTAAACCTATTTTATATTCTAAAAACAAATATGAGATTGTATATAAATGATAACAAAAACAAATAAGAAAAATAAATTTATTTACATATGATAAATAAGTATTTATCTTATATAACTGAAATAAAATAATAAATTGGTTGAAATAAAGCTGAAATGATGATAGACACCAATTTTGAAGAAAATATAATAACTAAAGTAAATATTAAAAATACCAAAAAAAAATCTTGAACTAGAATATTTGCTCCTAAGGAGATGGACCTACAATTGGTTGAATTTGCATATAAAAAATATTAACTTGTGAATTTGACAAATCAAACTTAGTGAATAATTAATATTTATTAAAACATAAATGACAATAAACTAGGGCATGTACTATGAACATTAAAAATGAACAATTTTCTATATGCACATATATAATACTGTAGAGGTCAAAGTTTGAAATAAGAATGAAATGAACACCTTCAATCCATTTAATGAAATGTAAAATCACTAATAAACAATGAAAACACCTCAACTTCAATCAAATCTTATTAGTGTAAAACCTAGTATTCATTTGTTATTCAATTTCAAATCACATTGTATTTATATATTATTACACCATGAATTTGTGGAGGTAACATCAAACCAAAGCATTTTGAGGATTCTTGTAAAGTCAACACTCTGTGGGCTCATCGACTCAGCTAGCCAATATAAAAAAGGGTTTCACTGACCAATAAGTCATCACTTACAAGCATACAATTGCCAATTTTTAAATGAAATTTTATTAAAATAGTACGAACAACACATTTACTAATTTATGTTATCAAATATGGTACGAACAACACATTTACTAATTTATGTTATCAAATATGTACAAAATAAGCCTTTTCTTCTTTAAAAAAATTATAAAGAGAGTGACTAATATTCACATATTTCAAAATAAAGTTTTCTATAAAGCTATATGTGCATAATGGTGAGATGCTTTTTTATATCTTTGGAAGTGTGCCAAAAACTTACCTACTTTATTTGTGTCAATAAAAGGAAAGTAAAAAAGCTTCCTCAAGATTAACTTACCAATTCTTCAACACCATAGCATATCTAAGGAAAGGAATGATGATGCTATTATCTCCTTCTATAATAATACTCTTGGTATCAAACATCTTGGGGTCGATAACATGCTTACTCTGTCACACTGCTCTCAGCTTAACCTAGGCTTGTAAAAACAATAATTCCAATGCTACCAAGGTAGGAAAATTGGAGGTCCCCATCAATATTAGCCTTAGTCCATTTAGAATTTAGGAGACACAAAAAAGAGAAGGAGATAACATGAAGGAATGATTAGTGTTCTAATGCTTTTGAATAGAATAGGCATATGTTGATCGGAGAGAATCCAAAATGATGCTGGTGATGTTGGTTGGGTTATTGAGTGAAGCCCCGTGCTTTTTCACCTTCCTTGTTCTCCAACGATCATGGGAAACATAATACAATATTCATGTCATTGCCATCCTTCGATTGCTCATTGTCCAATTCATGAATTACTTCTTCACAATTATGGCATGGATTATGCACACATAAGAATGCATAATTTCCTTACATTATGAGGACTATAAAATAATATATGAATAGAAAAAATAAGTTGAATTAAACAGTTTATAAAAACCTATAAAGACAGAAAATAAAAGAATAAAATTTTGTATGAATCAGAAAGAGTAAAGATAATTATATGGCAATCTATCTATCTATCTCTCTCTATATATATATATATTATATATATATATGAAGAACACAATCGATGCAATTGGACTCCATATATCACATAATTACGGTTCTGAAATTTCTCGAGAAATGTTTCTGAACTTTATGATGACTCCTCGCTGTCTTCGCCCATTCTATATTTAAGCGGAGAAAACCCCAAAAAATTCATGAATCTGCGAATAGAAAAACACTGCAATTTACGTTTGGTGAAGAATGTCGGGAGGCAGACAGGAGGACAAGAAGCCGGAGCAGTCTGAGTACATTATTCTGAAGACCCAGAGCCAGGATGGGAATGAAGTATTTTTCAAGATCAACCGCGGCACACCACTAATGAAGCTGATGACTGCCTACTGTGATCGCATGTCTGTAGATTTCAGTTATGTTCGCTTTCTCTTTGAAGGTAGTAGGCTTCACGGTGAGAGAACACCAGAGGAGTTGCATATGGAAGATGACGATCAAATTGATGTTGTGGTTTCCCAAGATGGGGGATGTATGATCATCTACGTTTAGGGAATCATAGTTGCTATTTATAGTGATCAAAATTATGTCATGTATGTTTTAAAAGATTTGATTTATATTAATCTTTATGTTGAGTATAATTTGTATTTAAGAAGAGTAAAATTCCATCCCATCAATTTTGGGAAGCTATGTTCAAATATTGAAGAAAAAAATATCATAGATTAGATTAACATTATGAATCAAGTAAATTCTTTTGATATAGATTACTGACAAGAATAATACTTAAAAGTATTATTATATAATTAAATATTATATCTAATAAGCTTAATTTTTAGTGAGGTCATTTAGATCACGGTATAGAAGTCATGTTATCTTATGGAAATGACTATATTTTAAAAAGAGTTTTAAGTTAAAAAAAATTTATGAAGGACGCAACTTATTAAGAAAAATTAAAATAGATCAAGTCTCACCATTAAAAGGCAACATGGATTTCAATGAGGCAACTCTTGCCACAATGGCAAGGCAAGTGATTAAGCCATGCAATGAATTTCTCATTTAAATTTGTTTATTTCTAAGAGAATGTTATGCAATGAGCCAAGAGCCAATGGACTACAAAGGCTCATCTCCATCTCATTTCATTTTTATATAAACCCCCTATTCTAAAATTATATCTTCTCTCTCCTAACTTCATTTACTTTTTCTTAGTAATTATCATTTTCAAATCATTTCTTTGAATGTATTTTACTATTGTTAGCTTAAATAACTTGAGGGCATAATGTCACTAGTTTTAACTACTTTTATTCACTCAAATTATGAAAGTTAAGCTTATTAATATTTTTAGTCAAATGCTTGAAATAATTTTTGCTCAACTATTTTCTTGATAGGGATCACTATTATTTGAGATGTTTTAATAACAAACTAATTAATATATTTTATTTTAAGAGAGCTTAAAATTAATTTCTAATGAAGTAACAAATCAGTTTTTAAGCTATCATTCTCATAATATATCCACCATTTATTGGATATTTCATTGCTATTTAATTTTGATTTAATCTTAATACTTGTTTGTTGCTTCTATGATTGGCTTATTTTTGTTAAAAAGCATCTAAATTTTATAAGAATCAACTAAATGGATTATTATCTTAAAAAAATTTTAATGTAGAAATATGTAATTATAACTTATTATAAAATCAACGTACATGTCCTTATTCAATAAGTTAGCCTTTTGTGCAACCCAGTATAAGCTCATTGTGATCTTGTGTTCAATAAGGTTTGTAACTTGTTATTTCATTAGCTAACTTGCCTTGAGCTTAATAGCTATAATAATAATAATAATAATAATAATAATAATAATAATAATAATAATAATAATAATAATAATAATAATAATAATAATAATAATTATAGATAAAACTTATTTTATGTGTATATATGCTACAAAGTAAATATGGTAATAAAATATCCTAAGTGATTTATTATTTCTTGTAGGAATCATAATGTGGTAGAATTACTTCATATTGAGCATCTAGGTGCTTAACCATAAAATTTTATCTCAATGTTTATAGATTTTAGATATTGTTACATATTTAATTAGATAAAGCTAACTATCAACATAAATTTTATGAAAAATTCATCTTTCTACAAGATATAAATACTATAGAAATTAGATTACAAAAATGAGATAGTAATGATCAAAATATTGATAGAAAGACACCTCTAAATTTGCAAGCTTGGTTTAGTTTTTATGTATGATTATATAAATTTGATTATGATTAAAAAATTAAAAATGAGAATTAATGATAAACAATATTAATTATATAAATTAATTGTAAAAAGTTACTTAATATAAAACAGTGTGTGGTATTAAGTATGTAGAAAGCTAAAGGATGATTATAATTAGCTAGCTTAGGCAACAAGTTAATGAAACGGGGAAATTTACTTGGTTTGCTTCTTCACTCAAAAAAAAATAATAATAAAATTTGTGAATGCTTAGGAAGATAGGAAGAGAATAACAAGGCTATGGTTCCATTCTATAAAGCTTGTAAGAGAAATTCTCTTACAAAATTTGCTCTCCAAAGATATTATGCCATAGTATCTTATGTTAGAATGTATTAAATAATCTTATTTCATGATGTTTAAGAGATGACTTGTGATAAATATTGAGCTCTTATGAAACTTTATTTTGGTTTAATAAAAATTATTCTTCATGATGGAAACAACCTCTTCATATTAAACTAGTTAGAATCTCTAAATGATATCTCGAATTAAATGTTTATGGCATGTCAATATTTTCTTTAAATTAGATTTGATTCGTGCCAAATTTATTTACTGAGATTATGTATCATACATAATAAACATAAATGTAATAAAATATAATATAAACATATACAAATATTTAGAATGTCATATGGGTATCATATATAACATTAAACTATTTAGAAAATAATATGATATGTCTACTATTATATATCCAATATTTAATGAAAACATAATTTTGGTTTATCATATGTTTCATTATTCTAATAAATTTTCTTTCATAATTATGAGCTAATATTTAAATTATGATTCAAAAACATAATTAAATCCACAATATCATTTAGTAGCTCATGTTAAGCAAAAACCCCTTATATGTTAAAACTTTTATATACATTATTACACTTAAGTTAATATGTAAGGCATCCAACATGACTTGGACATTAATATGGAATATTCATGGTGTGCTTATTAATTTAGTTAAACATCATTATAAATAGTAAATAACAGGATGATGCAAAACATGCTTAAATTATGAATTTTTATCTCATGTAAACAATGATATGATTTATATTACAACATATGGTTATGTAAAAAATGAAAATTATGTAAATAATTGAAGTGCATGTATAAAGAAAAAATGGAAACAAGAATGATTCATAGTCAGACAAATCTATAAAATTTCTCGCTGGAGGACAACTAAAAGGTTTGTCTAAATGATTGAAAAGAATATACAAATGGTTCTTTAAATGGTGAAAAGGGAATGAATGGATACATTAGATTGGATAATTTTTATACATGATATAAGTTGATTCTTATAAGCACTAAGATAATGTTCTTATCCATAACAAAGAAGTTCCACTGTACTAATATGGTTATAATAATAAAGAGTATGATTGATTTCATAAGTGTGTATGTGTGTGTGTGTCACTTTAAGATGAAATATTAATGAATCAATGGAATGAGAAAACTTTGTAAAAAAATTATATCATTCATCATTCAAATTGAGAAATAAATGAAAGTTGTCCCTGCATATTATGTTTCTTTCATATTCTATTTAGTAGCTCATATCCTAGTATGCTTTATGCTTAAAATCACTATATCAATCTTTATTATTTATTTCAAGTAAGGAAAAAAAGATAATGAAATAAATATACTAGATCAAGGAATATCATGAATAGTATAGAACAAGTGTTAGTTTTGAGACAATAATGATGTAATCATATACGTGAGATGATGTTACTTTTTGATTTTATATTTTTGTGGATTCTGTAGGTCAAAGAATTTTTTATTTATTTTAATAATTTTGTGGATCTAGTATAGCTATGTATGACCAATTGAAGATCCTCTGTTCTAGAGGAATATATCTAATTTTTTGTACAAGTAATAATATAAATATTTAAAATATATTATAATTGGCTATTATATCTCTCCCTCTATTTCACTCCAGCTCATATAATCTATTATTCAGTATAGATTATATGGATTCCAAAAATAATAAAGCAATTTCAGATAGTGCATGTATTTATAATGTTAATTAAAAATATACATTAATTATCCATAACTTACTCTTTTATGCATACTTGTGCATAGTTTTCTTCCAAAACCTTATATCATCCAATAAGGCCTATATTTCATAAACCCCTCAGTACTGGTATCTTATCATATTAGTTTGAACTAGTTAGTTTTTTTTTTTATATACATTGACCTCTCTAAAAAAAGTATTAAGACTTTCATCATCATCAATCTAAAATACACCTTATAATATGCAGTTCTCTCACCAAAATTGTTTTTGAACTTTCATTTTTCTAAAATACCAACCTTTTAAAAGATTAGATGATCTTTGGTATTTTTCTCTTGGGGTTGATGGCTTTTAACCTTTGCTTGTTGTTTTATATCGTGAATCATTTTTTGGTTTTGTGGTTTTTGTTAGTTTGGCTTTAAGGTTGCTGGGGTGCTAGTTTTGTTACAATCAGTTTGGTTTTTTTATGTTTACTTCGCCTATTTTCACGTTTCTCCCTCGTTTCGCAGGTGGTCTTATTTCAACTTGCTAGTATTGCTCGTTGTTTTTGTGTTGGTAGTGTTGTGTTACCGTTTCTATTTTGGTTATGTTTTGTTCTTGTTTTTGCTTTCTTGTGTGTCGTTTTGTGAGTTTTTGTGGCGTTGTGGCTATAGAAACCCATCGTTTGCTGATGTTATTCATGGTATTACACTTGTGGATGTGTGTTTTTTTATGTTTCCTCAGTTCCTTCATGTTGAGTATGAGGATTGTAGTGATGTGGGGTTCCTTAAGAAAGCTAACAGTAAAAATGGCAAGTCTGTCCTTTTTTTCTCAAATGATGAAACTTTAAAGCTAGCAGATTTATTGAAATTTTTTTTGATTGGGAAGTTTACTTTGTCCAAGTGGCATGATTGTTTTATTCTCAAAAAGGTCTAGGTTGCATGAGTTAGTACGTTAGTGGCATGATTTCATTTTACCGTTATAATGACTTATGGTGCTAATAGGAAAAAGAGTATTGGCTTATGGTGCTAATAGGAAAAAGAGTATTGCTTACTGACTTTTCCAAGCAGGTAATAATATTATTCTATTAATATCAAATCTTGTATGATTATTCCTAACATTGGTCTGAGTTAACATTCATCACTTGGTATTGCAAGTATTAGCACATTCAGATTCTAGGGTTGAGGTCAAACTTGGTGACCCCATCAAGATCCTATGGGAAAGCTCTTACCCCTTGCACTGCACAAATGTAAGTTAAATGAATGATTAGGAAACACCCTATAGATGCTTGTTTAGA